AACCGAGGGATTTCAAATACCATTAGCATTGTCCGGCAAAATAGGTCTTAGGGTACGGAATCGAACTTAGAAAATTGTCATGATTATATATTTGATTTTCTTCCTGTTTACAAAAGCTTTTCGAAATCTTTGCAATATTTCACATTAATCAATTTTCTCTATAAACTGATTTTTTTTATGATATTGCAAAATTGAACGAAAAATGAAAGTTTTCAATGTAATATATCTACTCGTTATTTCTCACTTCTATCGTCATAGTTTCTGCGATATAAGTCTTGTTTGTCTTAATGTACAATTATATATGATCAAGCATTCATTCAATATCTGATGTTATTTTGAAGAAACAATAAATAATTCCATAATAGTGTGGAATTTACATCTTTTCAATATAAAACACAAAAATAACACCAATACTTTATTCGTTTTGTGTTACGACTTTATCTAAACAAAGCTTTTACTGGTTTATGAAAACGAAATATCCTATTCACTTACAAGAAGTGGTGTCCCATGTTCTATGGTACCAGAAGTATCGGAAAATTCCAATATCTGCCGCCATACCTCGGATTTACTGCCTTATGTCGCAAACACAAAATGTCGGACAGCTGGTTTAGTTAACATTGTATCGCTTGTAAAACTTGAGAGGTGATTAGTAAAGTTATTGAGATATTCCTCCCATACACTGGAATCTAAATACCCATTTGTACTGGCTGTTTGATTAAGATCATATCTTTGTACTTCGGTAATGTACATCAATCCCTGCACGTTTAACATGTCTAACCTCCTGTCAATGTAAGAAGGGATTTCGTCATAATTAAGTTTTCCCCTGTTCATTAATACTGCTTATTAAATATTAATATTGTTAATAATATATTTTCATCTGATCTTAAACAGTTTCTTGTATCTGGGCATTTCTGACTAGACATATTTCCATTCATATTTTTCAATGAGGCAGCTATTTCAGATCTTGTGCATATTAACCGCTAGTCAACAGACGTTCTGGATTATCGTATTATAAAGGGTATTTTTTTCTTATATCTGTGAGAACCTGTAGCGTACCTTTTTATTAGTTGGACCCCGTGCTGCCTTCGTTTGATTATTGCTCTTGAAGAAGGGAGCTGTGTTTATGTTGATCGATTTAGAGATGGAAAAAGAAAGTACTGTAAGTTTGTTTTGAATTTTTTGTCTCTTCATTTGCTGGTTATTTTCTGTCTGTCCATCAGGAAGTTTTAATACCTACATTTACTCGACAGTAAGACTATTATATTTGGTGTCATCCCTATATGTTTTCATTAAACCGTGGAATCAGTTTCCTTCAGGCAAAAATTAAAAAAGTTCGTTTACACAATACTACATTCTTATGATTATCCAATACGATTATGAACCCTCTTAACCAAAGCGCATGTAATCCGTAGAAAGACCCATAGATGTCTTTTTTCTTACCTAAACATGGTGAACTTTGAGGACCAATTCAACAGACTAAAAGTTATAGACGATAGCAACAGTCATTTGTAAGCAGCAAGACAAAAAAAAGAAGATATTCATTCTAACAAAAATGCAACTATAAATAAAATTAAATAAATATATGGAAAAAATAAACGTCTTGTTTTAAAGCACTGAACAGAAGTAAATGGAGTACTGGATGTGCTTATTGAAAGAACTGCAGATATTTTTGATTAAAAAATTATCGGATCCGATGAGTGAAAAAAAAATCATACATCCCTATAACATCAGGACTTTAAAATACAGAAATTCTCTAAAGGCCCGGAGCTCCATGGTTCACCCGAGTAGCCTCGTCCTTTATCTGTTGTTTATACAGAATAAATGCTTCCGAGTTGAAGGTCAGGTGAAGCTAATGACGCATTTTCTGACCATTTTCATATCTCGCCATTAAAGCTAGTATATTAAATAAGTAATCTCATTTTATTGCCTGTGTGCGGTTTTGGGTATTTTCGTTGACAACTTGGCCGTAGCTCTTGATAAGAAGGGTACCTGACCGACAGAGTGAGGTCTCCTTGTCACGAGGCCAAGTTGATAAGTTATGGCACTAAAACAAAGTGACAGACAATGGTGGATATTGAACCTGACATGAAGTGGACTTACATGTTTGTTGTGTTAGTTAATCGCCCAGATTATCGATTTCCGTTTCACACAATCAGTCTAGTTAATAAACCGTTTGCTTCCTTCTTTCTTTTATTCATTGTATCAGACTGATTGAGATTCGATTGTAATTTATTGTTTTTGAAAGCAGACGGTTATGTTGCATTTAACATGTTTAATCATTATGTTCATGTTTGGACAATTTCTCACCTGCTCTTAATTTGATGCTCCTCTCAAACAAATGGATGATCCAACTGGAAATCAGAAATGTTTACGATGTCTAAATCGTCATCAGTATTCATTAAAAACAAGGATTATGAAGAAAATGTACGGAAAGAAAGGAATTGTTTACGAGTGGGCGATTGTTTATGTTGAGTAGAAGCCACAGTATGTAATAAGGATTAATTTAGTTGATGGTAAATGGCCAGGTACAACATTAACCGATAATTGAATAGTGTACCAATTGCTAACTAGATTTAAAGGTATAAAATCTTGTCACCTTGTTAATCAAGCAAAGTAGAGAATTACCTCAGATAGATAATTAAATAAAATCAACTTCATGGGACAAATTTCTAGATTGGACAAGAACGTGTTACAAAAAATAAGGTTTCATTTAACTGGTTAGATATCCAGTATACTTTGAACAAGAGGCCCATAGGCCACATCGCTCACCTTGATAGGAAGAAGCAGAATTCGGTTCAGTATTGAACGGGGGGATGATTTAAACTTACACTACCTCAGGATGCTTCCATATCAATATTACTAATCATGGCTTAGCTGTTCTTAAACAGAAGAATTTAAAAGTCTGATCGCTCATTGTGGCCCCACCCTACCAACCCTAAATTTGAATCTATACTACCTGAGGATGTTTCTATAATAATGACTAATCATGGTTTTGCTGTTCTTGAGCAGAAGATTTTTTTTTCAAAATGATTCTTATATATTCTTATGCAAAACTATGACCCTCTGTTGTGGGGGGTCATAATTTGAACAAACTTGATTCTACAATACCTAAGGTTGCTTCTGTATAAATATGACTAAGAATGGCTTAGTTGTTCTTGAGAAGATTTTAAAGATATTTCTTATGTAACATGTATGATCAGATTCTTACAAGAGATATAAAGGTGTCTGAGTTAATGATTGCAATGATTATTAAAACAGTTCTGTCTGAGGTTACATCACACAGTACTTAAATTTTCTCTTATCTACAGACGGGGACTGGGTAAGGTACTACTTACCATGTTTCTCCCCTAGGTTCCCATTGATAGATGAGAACTGGGTGTCTAAATCTTCTTCAAATTTACTACACCCAGAACTTAACATCAACTCCCTAGGATACTTGTCACTGATGTTTATAACTTGTATATTTTTATTTTGCTCTTACCCGTAACTTCTTCCTTGTTGATTCAATATCCAACTTCTTCAGCTAGCTTCTGAATGCCTGACTTTCCCAAAGATTTGCCTTATATACCCTTTGGTTTAGCTAGTCCATTCCAAGGGTTAGTCAGGTCATTCCACTATTTGAAGTCTTCAATGCATTTTTAACCTTCCTATGTAAAACTTTGATCCGCTGTTTTGGCTCCGCCCTACCCCCGGGGGTCATGATTTGAACAAACTTGAATGTACACTAATGGAGGATACTTCTATATTAATATGACTAATAATGGCATAGGTGTTCTTGAGAAGAAGATTTTTGAAGATATTTCCTATATATTCCTATGGTAAACTTTGACCCCCGTTGTGGCCCTGCCCTACCCCCAAGGGATATGATATGAACAAACTTGAATATAGAGTATGTAATGAAGCTTTCACATAACTTTCCTCTTTTCTTGTCGAGTGGTTCTTGAGCAGAAGATTTTTAAAAGATGCCACCAAATTTTCTCGAATTCTTAATTATCTCCCCTTGAAAGAGGGCGTGACACTTTCTGAGAACAAATTTAAATCTCCTTCACCCAAGGATGCTTTGTGACAAGTTTGGTTGAAATTGGCCCAGTGGTTCTTGAGAAGAAGCCGGAAAATGCGTAAAATTTACTGACGACAGACGGACGCCGGACACTCTTTAATCAGAAAAGCTCACTTGAGCCTTTGGCTCGGGTGACCTAAAAAATTGAAAAGTGCATCAACATAACAAAAGATAACTAAGATTTTTCTGAAAATAAAAATTGTGTTTGAGACAGTTATGACATCATTCTTTGACGGAAATAAATTCATTCTAAGTGGTATTTTTCCCTTTGTACTTAAGACTCAAGAAGAATTCATCAGACGATAACTTACGTAACTAACACTTTGTATAAAAATCAGTCAGTTACTGAACTCTAGCTACTTGTACCTTGAAGCGTTTGCACCCCGTTGGTTTTACATTATTCTCTGAAAGCGATACACATCCCTCCTTTTTAGAACGTCTGAACAATGATGAGTCTTTAGCTATGTTTGTGTGTTTGTCTATGTGACAAACAATAGATATCATTTTCTGAAAGTCTTGTTTATGGTGAAAACTTTACATATAGGTATCTCGGTCGAATGACCCTTTAATGATATGTATTATTGATGCAGGAAAAAGTTGGTTATCGCATTATAATTAAATGTTATATAGCTATTGATTAATGCCCTTTTTTAAGCGTAAGATAATTTTCTATGTAATAATTGTAAACGGACAAGAATCACGGGTAACTACTGACTTCAAATATTATCAGACACAATTACGTATGAAAGCATACACATCTTACTTTTTCTACTAATTGAGAAATTCATTTATGCTGCAATTATAACAAAGGGCTATTAAAAGGATTGAAAAGATTTTCCCTCAAAAAAATTCTTTTATAAAATATACATCCATTCTTTCGTTTTTCAGGTTTTAATGTAAAAACGTCACAGCGAGATGAGGGCTTCCGGTGAAGAAGAATGGAACACGACAACCTTATGCACTTACTGTGCTTACTTCTGATTGGCTACTGTACATACGGGGTACAGAGTGTTATAGTATTCAAAGACTGTGGGGGACGATTATCAGAAACAAAGGGTGTCATCCATTCTCCTAATTTCCCAAAAGAATTTCCAACTCCTATACGATGTGAGTGGGTAATCTACAACCCACAGACAAGAAATACAGCTATCTACCTAACTCAATTCTACCTCAAGGGGTTTGTCAGTGTTTGGCAATTTGAGCATTACTCTAGCCACAGAGAGTATATTGAGCCCAGACAACTTGCAACACTAAATGCTAACAGTGAAATCAAACATATTGTGTCCAATAAGCCCTACACTGTGATTCGATTTGCTGTCTCGGAAATAAATGATATCAATGTCCGTGTGTTAGACCACATCGTAGATGTGTATGGATTTAACATTACGTATGAGTTCTTGGACCGTTCCTCCGCCAATCTTAAGCGTACCTGCTCAGTCCAGGGATGTTCCTATCTCGGCAACTGTTACGCCAATGCCGACTTTTCGGCGTACAAGTGCCACTGTTTCCATGGATACCAGGGAAGTATCTGCCAGTATGGGGAGCACTGTGACCCAGCAAAGGGGATTAACCAGTGTAAGAATGGAGGAGAGTGTCGGTAAGTGTCCCAATTTCACCCCAGTAAAAAAAGAAAGATATTTTGAATCATTCCTTATGTAATATTTGTGTTCTTTCAATAACAGGAAATTCATGGTATAGGCCCTTTAATTTGTAAATATATGATGCTTGTTCAGGTACCAAATTATGAATGAACATGAATGAAATAGTTGAAGATAACGAACAGTGATTGATATATAAAAACAAAACAAAACAAAAAACAAACAAAAAAATAACTAAATAAAATAAAACAACGAAAAACGTACAAAGAATACAAATTTGTGAAAAGGGCATAAAACACCAATCCCTGGAAATTTAAAAAAATGGGATCAGGTGCCTAGGAGGAATAAGCATCCCCTGTCGACGCAATAAGAGCAAATGAACTCATATGTCTTTGTTTTCATTTTTTAAATTTGCTGAGGGTAGAATAGATAGATTTTTAATAATTTATGTAGTATGAAGCAGAAACTCTTAAATGATATTTCTGCAATAGTTATTAATAAAAATTATAATTGCAGGTATTTCTATGGGACAAATGTAAACATCTGTAACTGTACTAAAGGCTTTACAGGGAACATGTGCGAGGTTCCTTTGTCGGACTATCTACCAGACGGTAAGCAGTAACTATTATTTGTTCAAAGTAGAAAAATGCATTCTAAAATAGCCAATATTACGAAACAATTCAGCAGGTAAAATGGTCATACATGTAGTGTAAGAGTAAAAACTCATTTGTTGTAAACTTCAATTTTGACAAGAAATTATTCCATCTACCATAATATTTTAGAATACAAATTATCCAAATGTTCAGTAGAACAAAAGAGAATGCAGCTTATGTAAAGGATTCTAATGTAGATATTTTGACCATAGGCTCTCACCATCTAATTCGGTAAATGTCTTTGACATTTACCAAAGGTGTTGAAATATGCTTGTTTTAGTTATTTTGAATATTTTTATTCCGTTTATTAAATGACACGTTCAGGGTCTGTTTTAATTCATGACATGTCCAGCGTTTGTTTTTGTTATTGGGATGTATACGGAGTCTGTTTTAGTTATTGACAAGTACAGGGTCTGGTTAGTTATTGACAGGTACAGCGTTTGTCTTTGTTATTGGGAAGTATACGGAGTCTGTTTAAGTTACTGACACGTACAGGGTCGGTTTTTTTTCAGTTATTGACATGCACCGTGTCTTTTTAGTTATTGATATGTACAACGTCTGCTCTAGTTAATTACATGTGCAGCTTCTGTTTTAGCTATTGATATCTTCAGCATTCGTTTAAGTTACTGACATGTACAGGACATATTTGTGTCAGTTATTGACATGTACAAGACCTGTTTATTTTAGTTATTGACATATGCAGGACCTGTTTGTTATAGTTATTAACATGTACAGGGCCTGTTATTTTATATACTGACATGCACATCGTCATCGTTACCGGTATATACATCGTCCCTTTCAGTTTTGAAATACACCGTCTGTTTAAATGACCGCCATAATGAGCGTATGTTTAGATATTGACAGACTGAGTCTGTTTTAGTAGAACTGCGAACGATAGTATTGTTCTCCCACCTTCCTCCAAGTCAATTTTCAAAAGTTAACACATTTGAACGATTTTTTAAAAAAAATATTTATATAGATATTTATATGTATTTAAATAAAACATTTGAGAAAACAAAGAGAGATAACTCTATAATTTTGGTAAAAGTTGTGTTTTTCACTACAGAAATCAACGGAAAAGGGAAAATATTTTTAAAATATCTGCCCCCCCCCCCCCATGAAACAAAAACAAAAAACAAAAATACAGGTACAATGTAATGTGGTTTGTTATTTCACAAATTCATACCAAAGCTTTTTGTGTTTCGCGGGGGGGGGGGGGGGGGGGGGTATGTTTACAGACAAAAAAAACCCAGTAAAGATGGTCATTTTCTAACGAGATAGCAAGTTAAAAAATGTACTTTATCAATCTTATACTTTGAATTTTACATAATTTAAACAAACGTAAAGATTTTAAGGGTCATTTATCCATTTCCGTGCATATTTGAAATTTTAGTGACGTTTTTAAGTCTGATTTCAATGCATAAAATTTTCTATCCTCTCATGAAAAGAGTTGTAAAAGAAAGGAAATAACTTTTTGACGCTAGTTTTAAAATTATCAATAAATTACTAATGGACTATACATTGCATTCAAAAATGTTTTAATAGCCAAAATGCCATTTATACTGAATTAGATGGGTATAAATGTAGACGGGAATCGAGAGTTAGCGTGCGTAGTTCTTTAATAGCTACTCAAGTTATACATGTATAACCTGGGTTGGGGCAGTTTACGCTTTATAAACCCCGGTTTATAAAAAAGCGTAAACTATTCAAACCCAGGTTATACATGTATAACTTGGGTAGCTATTAAAGTTATTCCCTATAATTTAATTTTCTACCATTAAGTGCAATTTAATAAGACAATTTCTCTTTCAAAAATGCCTTCAATATGTACATATTTTAGATGTAACGTCAAGCGGATTGATACGTTTCTGACGTACGTAATTGTGACGTAGGTAACACAGGTTATACGATATAAACGATTTTTTAAATCCAATCAAATGGCGTGTTACAACCAGAATTAAATTATTTACATCTATAACACTTGATTTAGTTATCGATAAGTTTAAGTTATAGGCATGCACATCGTTCGATAATTTATCGACATATACAGCGCTGTTTCAAGTTATTGAAACTTACAACTTCTGTCTTAGCTCTTGATTTGTACTACGTCTATTTTAGTTACTGACATGCACATTTGTCTGTTTACTTACCGACATGTAAAGCATATGGTTAGTTATGACATGTACAGCGGCTGTTTGAGATACTAACATGTACAGCATCTGTTTAAGTTATTGACATGTACCGTATCTGTTTAGTTGTTGATATTTATGTCGTCTGTTAAAGTTAATGGAATATATAGCATTTCTTATTTATCAACATTTACAGCGTCTGTGTTTAATGACATTTACAGCGTTTGTTTTAGTTATTGACTCGTACAACATCTCTTTTAATTATTCACACATACGGTTTCTTTTTAATTATTGGCATAAAACCGTTTGTTTTAGTTATTAATATGTTTAGCGTATGTTTTAGTTATTGATATGTACAGCGTCAATTGGAATTACTGACATGTACAACGTCAATTTGAGTTGCTGACACGTACAGCGTCTTTCAATTATTGACAGATACAATTTCTTTTTTTTAAGGTGTAGACACTTTTTAGTTTTGTCATGTACAGCGTGATTGAGTCCTAAATTTACACAGTGTCTCTTTGGCTATTGATATGTCAAAGTACATTTTAACCACTGACTTGTAAAATGTTTGTTTTTCAGCCTGTGCCTACCTAGGTTGTGGACAGACTTGTATTGACGACTTACACGGCAATAAACAATGTGCATGCTACAAGGACTACAGGTTGAACGCTGACAAAAGAACCTGTTCACATATAGGTAAGTCACCTAGCTGACCAGGGTCATAAAGTATTTAACAACAAACAGTAAGATAAAATAAATGGCCAGCCAGGACCACGTTATCAAAATATTTATTCATTCAGAAAAGTAAATTGTAATCAACTGGAAGGGTCAGTGATCTCTTTGGACTTTTCAGTAGAACTAATGGCGCATGTTTCCAATAACTGTTTATTCATTTATAGATCGCAATCGAATCATTGTTACCATGCAACCAACAGAGAACTACCTCAAGTCAATTTCTCAAACCGGAAATAACGTCACTTTCAGCGATTCAGAAATAAACAAAGTTCGCCATGATGTAAGATCTTCATGAAATGTAGTGAATTGTGATGTTCATACTTGCTCGTCTCTCATTATTCTTGTAGTATACAACTATTAACCATTATTATATATCTTACAATGACTACAAACAAAAAAAAAAAAAAAAAAAAACCAAACAAACAAATGCATAAAATAATTTTATAAATTAAAAAAAATATAATAAAAGAAAATTAAAAGAAAAATCAGAACCTTGAAAAAAAATAATGATGTTAAAACTTTCGTTTTTCTTGATTTTCAAGGCTATTTTGTTTTGCTTTATATTAGATCGAACTCAGTCTAAAGAACATTGGCATCCAAGTAATGATGCATTTCAGCTTTATTGGAATAAGGTAAGACGTTGTTTTTATAAAGTTATATTTATCATGCATTTGCAAATCAATCAACTGATTTGACAACCAGTGTCCTCTGACGTTCTTTTTTAATTCAAGTCCATCAGCATCCAAAATATGTGAATTTCGCTTCATCATCGAGGCTGCTGAACAACACAAGATGGGGGGCTTTGAGAGAACTCTTTTGGGAAGAGGCTATGTTGGCGAAATTCCATTCTACAACACATCATTATCAATCAAAAGCATTCCAGGTTTAAACAATGAAACAGTAGTTGATTCTTTTTGAGAAAGTCAATGGGATTGTATTTTAATATATAATTCGTATTTACGATACTGGTTTCTAATATTTTCAAACAAGTGCGTCGTTATACTTCTCTGTGTATGGGACAATCTGGTTTTCTTGGGTTGCAGTGCTCCACCTGATAGAGGTCGTGACGACAGAGGAAGAACACGATTCCTTCTGGGGTGACGATTACATCAGTTACACTATTGAGGGCAAGTTCTTGACCATTTCCTGCCTTGTGCGGGGCTCGGAGAACACTTCCTTCCGCTGGTTTAAGGACGGGATGCTGATCGACATGAACCTGGCCGCCAGACAGGGTTACCAGACTGTCATCAACTCTCGACTGGACGGGACCATCCGATCTGTACTGTACTATGGAAGCGTCAAGGCATCAGATAGAGGTATGGCTACCGATTTTTCTACAGATAGTTTCAGTAAAAGACTTGCCAGTATTTATCTTTGAAATAAATTTACCTCCGAAGTTAAATTATCGAATCTCAAAATTTTTCAGGTGAATATACCTGTGAGGCAAGGGATTATGGTATTGCTCAGAATAAGTCAGACCTGGTGGATGTGATCACGACGCCGATGGTGGATATCGATCCAATGTCGGATTACGTTCCATTCAACGGATCCATCCGAATCAGATGTCTATCTTTTGACCAGGATGCCCTCAAATACGACTGGTATGTTAACAACATTCTCATCAAAAGAGCGCGCTCTGACATGATTCCGGAAACACTACAGCCGGCCGGCTCTCAGCTCTACGTACGCACTCTCCAGAAGCGGGCCATTTTTACCTGTAAAGTCACAAACGCTGCCGGTGCACAGAACGTAACTGCTGATATATATGTACAGGCAGGTAAGCCCCGACTCTGAGATTTTATAATCTTTACCCGGCCATGTGAACAAATTCACTTTCGATTTGATCTTTCATCTTTTTACATGTATTTATTTAAAATAAAAATTGGTTATTTTCCCACTGAAAAGCCTTTCAAGCCAACGACACTTGTCCCCAGCAGTGGTATAAAAGCATCTTGTGGGCGGAAATGGCAGGAGGTCACTACAGGAAAGAAAGATGTCCAGCAGAAGCTGGAGGTTAGAAATCGACGTGTTCTACATTTATTCTTTAACATCATTAACTACAGATGGGTTTGATCAAGTGTTTCATATTTGACCGTCCTTTATACAGATTTTCAAAATTATATCCCGATAGATACTGGTAAGTGTTTTATGTGAAGGTTTGTGTACATCCTTGAGAACAATGTACTCTCTCATTTGACGTGTATTTCCCGTTTAATACCGGTGTGGAGGGTGTTCTCACATTCTGTACTTACGGTTTCTGCACAACAAATTATTTATTTTTATAGTTTACCTTTATATCATACTGTTGTAATATCCTATTGATGTGAACGTTGTAATTACATGTAGACCACTTTTATCTTTGTAGGAAGTCTTTATATAAAACACTTTGGTATGAAAACGGGTATATGGTTATAGTTAATAAAACATCCTACAAGATATTCAAAATTACATGTATCATTAATGATATTTAGAAAGAAGAACCTTATGAAACCCGAAATTTATAGTTACACATTATACAAATAAATGTTTACGATGCTGCACTCTTACACTTTTGGCAGTGATTGCTTGACTTTCTTAATCACATTTGCTTCACTGTCCACCTGGACGATAAATTATGGAACTGCTATAAAGAAATTTTGTAATAAATTATGACTGATTATTGGTATTATCTTATCTTTATGTATCAAACTGATAATCTCCCGTTTTCACTTTCGTAGGATTTGTGACGAGAAAATGTCTTTGTAAAAACGAAGGAAACAGGCGGGTTTGTTCCTGGAAAGAACCCAATTTTTCCATGTGCCAGTCAGTTAGTCTTGTCCGAATTTACGACGAGGTAAATATCACACTGCTGTTTTGATCCTGACTCTGGTTTCATATCGGCCAAAGCCCGAAGGGATGTGTTGATTTTTTCAGTAAACAAGAATTATATCTCTTACGTCACAAGTACCATCATTTGGCGCACCTTTTAAAAACTTAAGCATAAGTAAATAAAGATTCAGATCTAATTAAAATTCATATCTTTTTTTCAGTATACAAAATATATTTCTTTAACACTTTCATAGAAATTTTACTCATAATTCACACAAATTAAACCGAAATAATGAATAGAAATTTGAGGGCAAGACAGCTCCTTGACAAGGGGCTGAGACAGAAATATCTCGACCCTGAGGGCGAGACAGCCCTAGCTCCTGACTCAGATCACTTAGTCCAATACGTCTGTATCAGGGCTGATATACGACTAGGTATATGATGTATTGTTATCTTCCCCTCTCCCTTCATCAGAGGAGATTTTACTAAAATCGCGTGTTATATCTGTCTTTACATATTCCATGTAATAGGGATATAATATACGGTTAATTACCAATATTGAGCTTATATTGGTGAATATTGGCACGAGTTACCTGTGAAAATGGTTCCACGTGAAATGCTTATAAAAATTTCGTATTTAAGAAACAATACTGGCTTTTTACGATTTTACTTTAATAAAAAAAACAAGGGACACTTTTTTCTGTGTTAGATGGAGATAATTCGGCTTGGATACCGCTCGTCTTCTCTACAGTTCGTGTTCGATCATCTCTACCGGTACGCCTCCAATCATCAGAACAGAATGTACTCCGGGGACGTAGAAATCGCCGCAAATGTTTTACTGAAACTCCTCCAACACCTGGCCAGGTTCCCATCTCTATCAGAGGGTGGATCCAAAATCTCCTTCGTGGTACGTATGTCATTCTCGTCATTATCATTCTGATTAGCATTATTATTATATACCCAAGAGTGTATCACTCAATTTTACTGTAGATTTCGTACAATCACGTGACGGTGTGATCCGACTTTCCGGATCACCACACTGTGGTTTTCTGAATCCATATCACCCCTCTCTGAAATTGATGACGTAGTACACAGAAACATGACGTTATTTTTCATGCGCATCAAAAAGTTCGTAGACAAAATGCTTTGTTTAACGGAAAAATCTTATATAATTGATCTCAAAAGTTTTTTTAAAACTATATTTTGCTAGTTGTAAGGGGGTATATAATAAATTTATCATTATAACAGTAACTTGATCCGAAGAGCCGTATCACGTCTCGTTGACAGGCGCGGATCATCAGATCAAACTCGACGCTTCGCGTCTCGTTTGATCTGATGATCCGCGCCTGTCAACGAGACGTGATACGACTCTTCGGATCAAGTTACTGTTATAATAATGTATATTTCTCTTCAGAGTTTATAAATCATGTGAAAGTAAAATTAAAACTTCTTTTCTTAGAATGTTGTTTATTTATTGGACCAATTACTGACAGCTATTTCAAATTCAACTAAGGAAGAGAAAGAGGTAAGTTACTTGTGCCTGAATCATGTACAAAACAAGAACTTACACTTGCTATTATGGCAATTTACTATGTAGTTTGTATTGAATAAAAGTAAAATTGCCTGTAAAAATTTGACCAGAGTCTGGTCAAGGGAAGCCAGGTAGAATCGAGAATATTATTAATTGTATACTTTTACTGACTTTAACTGTATAACAATACTGCTTCAAGTGTTGTAGTTAACTTGTTTTTTTTATATAAAATTTTTATCTCCACATTACCCTTAATGCTCTTTATCTTAGAATCTGACCTTATTTTTGGCTGTACTGGTTGAAGACCAGAAGAGCTTATGCGATGGTAATAAGATGTCTGTCATCCGTCCATCTTTCAAAAATGCTACTCCAAATTCTATGAAACTTGGCATAGATCTAGACTTCACGGGTACATAACACTATTTATCAGTTGTTGGTTTGTTCAAATAATGTTGCCTTGTTACTAAAACTTACAAAATTTTGTTTTGGCCTGATTTAATAAAAATTGGTACACAAGTAAGAAACAAAATTTTGATTTTAATGAACGGTGTTGCCATGTTGTTATAAAGAAAAATAAATTAACAAAAAAGAAATCCATGGGATTCTTTCAAAACGTTTCTCCTCCGGGGCCCTTTTTAATAAACCTTGAAAAATGATACACAGATAGGCTACAACCAAGATAGATTTTGATGAATACTGTTACCATGTTACTAAAAAAGTAATAATCTATGGACTTTTTTGAAAATCCAACTCCACCTACAGTTCACAGTCTGGTTTCAATTTTAGAAGACATCAGAATACATGACTAACTCTGTGAATGTAACCTTAAGTGTTTCAAGTACAGATGTAAACTTTTTTCGTGCACTATTTTACAAACCAGTAGAGCTCAAGTCTCATCAAAGACTTGTTTCCGTCACAGGCTGTGAGTTTTGGGAGCAATATGGTTGGGATCTTGGACGCCCTGACGTCTAACATGTCGGGATATCTGGAATTCTCTCCCCACACGGATGTACTCTCGGACAATATTGGTAGGATAACATTTATTCTTTATTATAGAAACTAATATAATCTATCGTTATGATAGAAAAAAGAAAAAAAAGTTGAGCGAGAGGGTTAAACAAAATAACAAGAGAATGGAGATAGCCTAAGTTGTTAATTTCTAGTGAAAAAATATATATTTGACGACATTTTACAGATGTTAGTATCAGAAGCAGCACGGATAGTCTTGTTACATTGTACAGGCGAAACGAGGAGGGGAAGCTAACATTGGAAAACAAAGGTAGTTACGATGTTGTATGACGTCACTTGAATTTAACGCAGACGTCATTATCTACTTTGTTAGGTATGTACGAAACCAATGTCTGTATCACCTTTAATAATCTTGTCCAATTTCAGAATATCCAGTAATATCTATTGCACTGCGAAGTTTGACTGAAATGTTTCCAGAAAATATTGAAAGGTAATTAAACACACTTAGCTACCGAATTTACTTTCTCTTTACCGATAACAATTACTAATTTTACAGTATATTCAGGCCTCTATGTGACCTCTAAAATTTAGGCGCCAACTGGCTCCTAATCAAAAGATTTAGTCGCCAATGCAAATTTTTAGTCACCAGGCAAATTTTTCTTAAGCGTCAATTTAAAAACTGATGTTAGTCAATGTACAGAGACATGCCCATTGCTAAGTTTTCTTCTTTTCTGCTCGTTATTAAAAAAAAATGAAAATGTTTATAGTTCAGTAATTTGACGATCACCAAGTCAATTTAAAATGGTCGCCAATTTGGCGACTTATAGAAAAATTTTAGGCGCCAATCATATTTTTAGGCGCCATGGCGACTAAATTAGTCGCCAATTTGAACTCTGATACCCCGGTATTTAACATGTATGTAACCATGTATGGGGACAGTATGATTCTGTTTGGTCTGAATATGAAAACAGTAAGATGTACAAACATCCTGGCTAGAGCTCTCATTGTTTAAAAGGTTATGAAATTACTCTGTAAATCCACTACTAACAATCTACACTATTGTAGAACATAGGGTATTGTGTTTCAACACCTTGTTTTAAAAATAGATTGCCAATAGCAAGGAGTTACGCTGTCATTCATTTTGTGTATTTTAGTACTAAATACCGTGAATTCGTATGTACGCCCAGTCCATATTGCTATATATATTTGCATTTCCCGTGATTTTCTTCTTAACCAACTATTTGATTTGAACAAGTAAATTGATGACCTTACATCGTTTTGATTAAAAAGAAAAAGACTACTCAGATAAGTCAAAAGTAGCAGAAAAAATGATTTAACAGTTTATATTATTTCTAGTTACTAGTATATCAGCCGCATTGTGTAAGGAAATTGGAAATAGAGTTATTCATCTTCATGCAATGTTCATTTTCTTTGATTTAATTTTGATACTATTGTTATATGAGCGAGCTCCGGACAGACCGTGGTTTGAGACAATGTGTTCAATCAGGGGGCCTTTTACACTTTGTTGCCGAACTATTTTCACGCAGTACTGTATCATATATGTTAATTCCCACTACAATCTTATTGTCGTGATACTGCAGCAAAACCACCAAAACTGTAACTGCAGCAAAATAATAATATACCTGTAAACATTAATTGTTGTCATATTATTACCCTGAATTACGTATTTTATATAACACAGTCTCAATCAGTACCAAGTTAATTCACGAGAGTTGGTATAAAGAGTTACTGTAGAGTATTTCAAGAGGTAACGATCTGTTGTACAGAGTTATGTGCCCTAAGTGCCAGGATGTATCAGACCACAGCTACACAGAAGGAATTGCGGATAAACATGAACCATTTCCGATTTTTCTGATATACTAGTATAAGATTAAGCTTCTCTGTTCTTTGAAGGGTACAATGAATAAAATCAATTTTAATATTTCCACAGAAAACAGCACCAGAGGTCTGTGACAGATATGTATGATGTCGGTCTGTTTCCAAGAGAAAGCTTTTCAGCAGAGCGTGTTATTGGGGATATTAAAATACCACGTGTGACCTTTGTACGTAAAAAAAATAATAAACGTACATGTATATTACATATGCATTGCATACGACAGTTTATCATGCAGTCTGGTTTATTTTCCGTTTTATCCAAAGTGGTATTATTTCTTATTCATATTTGAGATTTTGCGGTTTTTCTATGTAAAAGTGAATTGATATGAAAAATATTTTGATCAGTTAAGTTTAATGGCAACTACTTTTCAGGTTTTTGCTGAAGATTATTCGGAATTCATTTGTCTGTCTCTGGAAAAGAATCCGAGGTACAAAAAACTTTAAAAAAAAAAAATATGTATCACTCATATCCTCTACAAATGTCTTTGTTTGAGTGAATGAAAATGATTGTGAAAATATTTGTACAGATACACAAAGCACGAATGGAAGAACAGTAATTGTGTGTTTGTTTCAAGTGACGATACCCACATCACGTGCCAGTGTGCACTTCCTGTCAAAGTACACGTGGTGGGCATCAAACAAAACGAAACGGTAAAATTCTACAAGTAAACCCTTAAATTATTGGTGGGATACGCAAACTTTGTCAGTAGTATTGCATATTTTATATTGTGCCGTTTCAGATTATCATTCCTTCCACGGAAGAAAACAACGATCTTCTCCTGGTGGGCTGCATTGTTGCCATGTCCGGCCTGGCCGCCATATTCATCGTTACTCTTTTTTGTTGGAGGTAGAAACTCTCCATTTGAAAAATCTACCTTTTTTCAAAAAAATAAGTACTGTATACATGTTTTCATAAATAATCATTTAATCTGCTTCATAACAACTGAAATGAAAGCAATGATACCTGTACTCTCTTACAGAAAATTATCAGGGGAGGTGTACATTATACAACTGAGCTTTGTTCTTGTGTTGAGTTGTTTGAATGGCGTGTTTATCTTATGTCTCTACCAGTCCCATTCCGAGGTAAATCTAATAATATCTTAAGCTTGTCAGTTTTACTCTTAAATTGAATGTAATTAAGAAGTAAGGTATCAATGTTATACATTTACCCAGATATAGGTATGGTTCGGTATGTCATTAAATCCAATAAAGCCGGAATGGCTTTATAGTACCAACACGCACCTGTTTGAAATGATGCCTCATTACTTGTATTCATTTTTGTCATTGCGAAGCGAAGACCGTCTATGACTTTATAATGAACTTGTGGTCATATGTTAAACTACATTTATATAGTGAAAAGGATACGCATTGCTCAAATAGTCATATACCAGGATAAGGCATAACATTTGCAAATGCAAATACACGAATTTTTAAATAAATATATAAATATTATTTACTGTGCTTATCTTTATGACACAAAGACTTGTTTACAGAAAAGTTATTAATGGTCTCTCTGTTTCGACACCAAAGAGAAATGTCTTGCTTGCTGACTTTTAATATCGAAGTCTCCGTTGTTGGAGATTGATACCGAATTAACGTTTTGGATAAGGCTTATCACAATGTAAAGTAAAACGAAGTCTAATGTGTTGTACTGTTGATTATGAAGTTTATAGTATGTACTATACGGTTAAGTTTCGTTTGCGGTATATGTATAGTAATATCAAAATTTCGTTCGCTGTAGTGTTACATCAAGATCTCGTTTGCTGTAGATTAAGATCAAAGTTTCATTTGCTAGATTAGTACCAGTCTCGACTACTGTAAGGTTAAAACCAATTGTTTTTGTTTACTGTAAGGTTATTACCTGAGTCTCAGACGACATTATAAGTCCATTATAATTTCAATTATTGCTTCATTTTAGATTATATGCAGAGTTGGGAGAATTTTGGCCTTTTTCCTGTACTCGGCAGCTTTTTCCTTCCTTCTGGTGGAGAGCTTTCATCACTTTTTCACCATTTATAAAAAAGGCCAAGTTGGAAAAAATCGCTATAAATACTTGGCTTTTGGATGGGGTAAGAATCATAAACTCAAATACACGTATATTGCATATGAATTGTTGAAATTTTAAAACACAATTTTAATGAAATTTCAAAATGAAAAATTATTTTCTACATAATTAATATGTTGCAATCGTAAAATTATAAGCAGAGATTTAAAGTGATTTTATCTAATAGAAAAATGAATTACGTCCCTTCTAACAAAACCAATACGTCGCTCAAATTTCTAAAAATTGAAGCCGCTTACAATTTTCTTTTTAAAGGTATTGTGCGTTTGGAAGGACAGCTTTTTGTGTATACAATATTGTACATGTACATATAAAATGACCTTCACCTGTTTACATTACTCTCTTTACACAGGATTTCCCTTGGTGTTTGCAATATTTTATACCGTGGCATCGGAAATGTTTGGTTTTCCAATCAAAGGTTCATTCAAGTATGTATGAATTTTTGAGAAAGTTTTTAAAGACTCTTTTTTCTGTAATAAGATTTTGTAAAAAAAAGTTTAAATCTTTAAAAACAGAAGTATTTCGTTAAGGTTTTAATACTAATCTAGATCTGAATCATGGAATATTCCAGATGCTGGTTACAGAAGAGTCATTGGTCATTTTATTTATTTGCCATTCCAGTCGCCAACATATCATGTGTATGTAATTCATTCTCAGTATTTGCCTCTACTTGTCTACCTCACATTCTTCTATATGTCCAAACACTATGTTAAATCACAAAGATAATTATTGTTATTTAAGAATTGATATACATGTAAATTCGATAATAATTTGGCATTCTTTGACATTGATGCCAATGAGAAAAGAAGACTATATATATATTTTATATACATTTACTTGTGCTGATATTTCAGTACCTCACCACACGTGCTCATTACTGAAGATATCTTCTGGTTCTCTATTTTTCAGGTGATATTTGTATTCAGTGTGTTAGTCCTTAATTCCAAAACCGCGAAAACTGACGAGACAGTCCAGGGACAGAAAAAGATAATGCTGTATGTATAGGAAATATTTCAATTCAATTAACACTCTTTAATTATTAATTAATGAGTGTTAATCAATTATTTACAGTAAAATCGTGTGTAATTTTAGAATGTTTACTTACAGCCGTAACTGCACAAAAACCATTGTTTTGCTGTTGGCGGTTGTCGTCGATGCTTTCCTATCCATGGATATACCGTCACATCAAGATTCAATGCAGCTTATCTTTTTACTTATATGCAAAACTGCGATGGTATGTATGTCTAATGCTGATAAACATTTTATATTAATATGGTCGTAAATTTTTTATTTACGAGATTCACTTTCAAATTTTGATGGAACTCATATTTGTCATCTAACAGGTGATATCAATTTTCATGGTCAGAGTTGTGCTGGACAAACAGGTAAGTTGTGATATCAGTTGGACTTTAAATTAATAGGAAATTTACACCTTAATTCCATTATATTTCAAAAAGGCAACAAAATGTCTGTTATTTTCAGATGTCAGGAGTGTGGAAATGTTTTTCTATAAAGGCCAACAAATCTAACGAAAGTTCAGTAAGTATGCGTCCTAATTAAAGTAGTAAAGCTTGTCGAGTGTTTTCTTTTTTCAATGCTTAATGGGTTCGTGTCATTTCAGGATGAGGCTGAACAGATGTGCAAAGGTAACAGTTTATATTATAACTTTAGATCACGTTTTAAACAACATTAACCGCATTTTTCTATGTAACACAAACTTGTTTTAAAGATACAATTTATTTTACTAGGTGTTTGCAATTGTTTTAATCATCCCACGCGGGAGCAGGAGAAAGCGAACAAATATTATGCAGAAGTGAATAGAGCAAAATACACTGCCGAAAGAAAGCGTCAATTATCTTCCCTGTTAGGAAGCTCTGCCGCTCACGAACTTCCGCTCAATAGTCCAGACACGAGCAGCGCTACAGGATCGAACAAAGAAGTGAAAGACGAAGCACAAGACAGAACTAGTCAAAATGCAGGTCCGCATCTATACATTCATTCTAACGGCAGCAAAGGTGTCACTTTTGTCTCAGAAAAACTACCGCCTTTGATCCAAAATGGTGGAATTGTAAGTGGACAAGGAAGTGACGGACAAGGTGTCAATATAACAAACGCTCAGGCCCGGAAGAATGGCTATAAAAGAGTGCAGAATTCCCAGATCGAGGCTGAGGAAGAATTAACTGCTTTAATACATTCCACTGCCGAAGGAAATATTAAGCGAAAGCAATTACTATAAATTCATTCCATCCATGTGTACAAAAATTTGTTTTTAATTTATTATATATGTCTCATTGAATCCCGATGTTTGATAAACACTTCGAGGTCTTTCAACTTGAGAAGCCGTGTTTCTTGTAAAAAACAAATTTTTATGCAAAATCTATTATAAATGTGAAGTGCTTTATAAATTAAGGATATCTACTGTTCCTTTTTATTGTTTTGATATATACATATTTTCTTCTTTTTTAAATGTTTTCTGTATTTTTGTCTCCTCTTTATTTTATTGCCTGTTCGTCTCTGTACATATTTACATCTTAGTATTTATTTTCTGAAATACGTGTTATAGAAATCCAAATAAATATGTGCAATCTTCTCCAACAGTCATTGTTTTCTTGGGATTAAAATTTGAGCCCAAAATATGAAGTTTCCTTTTTTAACAACATTTATACACAAACCCTCAATATCAGGTATATTATATCTGATTAAATTTTGATCTTCACTAGATTTAGAATTTAGTAATATAAAGTTTGAGTACTACAATAAAGCTTTATAAATATTGTTCACTACTAGATTTAGAATTTGATAATTCACAATTTTTACGTGTCAATGTAAAAAAAAGTTGAATTACCAAACTTTTAATTTAGTTAAACAGTATAATCGATTCTGACCTGTTCTTGAAACAATAGGTCATGCTTCCACTGTTTTCAAATCATATTCCTAATCATAAAAGGAAGATTGATATTCTAGGCTTGAAATAGCTAGATGAATGTCTTTTTGTGATTTGGGTTTACGCAACATTGCTCCAGAACAATAGTAACATAATATGCAAGTTTCGAGATTATCTCCCTTGGTGCGCTCTTTCGGTACGGAGGGGAGTTTTGTTTCCGCGTAAGCAGGCAGGTGGGACAGTTATTTATATGTATTGGTTACATCATCGATGTGCCATCATAACTGATTGTCGGGATGCACCCTAAGTCTTCATCTCGAAAATTACCGAATTAAAGTAAAGGCGTCAATTTTTCCTACGAACAAAAAAATCGAAAAAAAAAGAGAAAAAAAAATCGGAACAAATTAAAAGAAAATATAAGTGGATAAGAACTTATCAAACTAGGGAAGATATATGGATCTGTAATCAATACACACGCATGTGATCATTGTGCATCGGTATTCTGAATGACTCTTTCCCTTATAATACATGTAACCTCAAAGAGCCCAATAACTTTTTTAAAAAGGTTTGTACAATCAAAGAATTATTTTTCCTACAAAGACTATGATGGTTCTTTCGTTTTCAAGTATCAAGCACATTTTGTAAATATGTTTAGTAGAGCTTTATGATCATTACTTAGCACTATCATCTTTCTATAACATTTATTTAAATGAATTTAAAAAGTCATAGCCATCGTTCATTTATTTATGCACGTTTGTATACATTAACAACCTGTCCCACTTCCATGCTGATATCGAAACCCGCGTATTGATTGATATTATAATTCTACAAATTATATCAAAGTAAAGATTTGGGACAGTCTTGGGCTCGATGACTTTTAATCAAAATATCGACGTAAAATACACTTTAATCTCTCAAAATCATTGAATGTATATATATATATATATATATATATATATATATATATATATATATATATATATATATATATATATATATATATATATGGCAAACAACACATTCTTTTATAAAGAGCTTTAGATCCAATAAAGAATTGAATTGAAAATTTGAATTTATACCATCTTTTTGATGTCATATATAAAAAATGACGTGACTGCTGATGAAAATAGGCAATACTCTCAAGTCTGCAGATACCCCCTGGTTTAGAACTTAATAATAGATTTCTCCATCAAAGTTTGATTTTGGGGAAGATATTGATCATTACTTAATATAGTTCGTTCTCCTTTTATCTATATCTCATGAAATGACACTGGGTACACGTAACACTAGGATTGTGTGGCGTTTATTTCAGATATATATACTGTTTATTAAGCAGCACCATCCTTTTGAGACCCGATATCACATACATGGTTAGGATTGTCTGAAATGATCAAAAGTTCATTATATCAAATTAAATTAATTAAGCATTGTTTACTTTCATATAATATCAGGTAATCAAGGCCGTAGCTAGGCTCAAATTTTTAGTGAGGCAATGGATCTGGGGGCCACCCGAGAGTCCCAGGGTAGTGTCCTGAAAGGGGAGGGGAGAGTTCCCGAATCCTGGGTTTTAGCAAATTAAAGACTTGATCTTTGAAAGTTTTCATGTTCTGAATTATTTTTTATATGTATATGCTTCTTAAACTATTTTGAAGCACCTGGTGAGATGATCGATTCACGGAAATTGAAACTGAAGTTGAAAGTATTAATTTAGTACAAAGACACACATAATTAATTAAAGTTCAAAGTAAAACTTTTTTCACTTTTCAGAAAACTCTGATTTTTTAGTGAGGCATATGCCTCACTTGCCTCAATGGTAGTTACGGCCTTGATTACGGTAATAATTAATCGGTTCCTTAGAATTACGCCCCGCTGCCAAATAAAACTTTCATTAAAGATACTGAAGCATCAAGGCTGATATTACAACATATAACGGTATGCTCACCCATTTCTTTACTAATAGTTAAGGACCCTCTATACACAAAAGCAGAAGTGTTTTAGGGGCACTGAGAAAAATAAAAATGTATTGCATGAAAGTGTGATTATTGAAGTTATCTATTTCTTTTTCAACATTGGGTACTTAGCATTAACCTCCAGGAAAAATCTTCAAAGGCAGCAAAATATTGATCACTTGTTTACTTAAGTGGGGGAAATGCATGCAAATAAAGAGTTCAGTTAATGTATCTTGGTCTATTAAAATATTAAGAATGTTTGAATTGATTACAAATTGAGTAATACATCGTAGCTTTCAATTTATTTTATTTTTGATCTAAGGGCGGATCACTCAAATGCATAAAAATACCACAGAATTAGAACTCTTTAGTGCGAAGTGTACAGAGGGTTCTAAAAGAACAAGTAGCTTTTTTTGGTGTGTATGACGTGATAACCAACATCGCAGCACGTGATAATTTGTGTAGGAACTATATACTTCCAGATTATAATCCTCATACACACCAAAAAAAAGAGAGACTTGTTCCAAGTACTAACATCTTACATCGAAATTACATATACTATAAACCTTTGATGAAAACCTAGCTCAAACTTAAAATTAAACTCCGTTCTGACATAATTTTAACCAAAAAGTAACATAACAAAATAGTTCAGATGTCACACAGAAGCGAAGCTGTCTTGAAATTGTAACCCCGAATTTTACAGGTAAAGTTATTTTTGACAAAACATTGGCACATATAAATATAAGTGAACACCTTTTCAATTATTTTCATACGACAACGAGTTAATTAATAGATAAGGTGTGACCACCCTAAATATATGTATGTTGATTTGGGTTTTAAATGTTAACTTACCAGACATCTGATTTTGTCATGGTGGATTTATAGGTGGCTGCGACACTTCTCCTTCTTCGACCTCTGAAATCTGAAAATGAGGTTACCAAAGGGTAATTATAAATTACACAATTGTTTGATCTAGCTAAAACAGATTGTGAGATAATGTTGGGATAAAGAGTCTTTTTTAAGTTAGTTGACTTTTTAAAGAATTATAGTATTAAAATTATCTACTGACCAGGACCGTAGCAAAGTCCCTGAAAACAGCTGTTTCCTGGAGGACACCTCGAGCACGCAGGGCCAGGGGTGTAAGGAGCCTGTCCTATGTAGTTACCCCTATAAACATTGCATTCGATGGAGTTTAACAAAACAACACCATTTTAAGTGTTCAATTTTTTTTTGTTTAAAATCACGAAAGTTTAAAAAGACAATAACAGTTATAAATGTCCGATTTCTAGAATCTTACTGGGGTGAGTAGAAGCAGACAAAGTACTGAGCGTTACGATAGACGCGCCCTCTACCGTCGGACAGGGCGTTACAGTAACTCATGGCACAACCAAGTCTGGAGGTCCGGGCCCAAACCATCTGTTCATAAAACAAAATATAGACCAGTGTTTTACTGTTTTACTGCGGAAGGGAAAAATCTTAGAGGCAAATGAAGAACACAGGACTATAAGGCTGGATATAATAAACTCAGATCATTAATTTATGCTAAAAGGAATTAGGGTAAAATAATGAAGACTTAAAGTCATAAATCCAATTTATACAGCATAATTATACGCCCCTCTCTAATATCCATGTATTTATTGAGCCCCCCTCGGTTTGTTTGTTTGTTTGTTCTCTTTAGGTAATAGATACTAAATTATCATTATAATTTTTTATTCCAAGTACAAAAAAAAACATGCCTCAAGGTTTCCTTTCAACATTTTACGATTTAATATCTAGTAAATTATAATACTACTAATAGTAATATTAAACTATTTTTCAATACCTCGAGATGCTTGATAAATAAAAGTTTACTCTTTTAAGAGATTACTGAAGAATAAATGAATATTTTAGACTCAGATATAAGTATATAAGTAAGTAAGTAAATGGTTTATTATAGTGACATGTGTTATATACAATTACAACAACAAATATACATATAATAGGAATTTAAGCATCCGTGCTTCTAAGCATCTATATGTCACTTTTAACAATATAACCTTCAATAAGAATACAGTGATATTACGCATTGCGTTTATTATAAATAATAGACTCACTGTCTGTAAGTATATGCTGAGTATATAAATTTTCCGGTTTGTCTTGGGAAATTTACTAAAAGAAATTCGGTTTTGTCTAAATCTGACATATTGATATCAACTGAAGTTGGTTTAAATCCAACACTGGTAAAAAGATTGCTCTAAAATTTTAAATATGATGTACAATGAAGCAAAAGGTGGCATTCATCTTCTAGACTATTTGAAGAACATAAAATATATACATATATGCATGATATTTTGTTTTTCGTACAGGCTTTTATAATACACATCTATAATAAATTTAACAAACTGTTAGCTTCCGTGTAGGAAGAATCAATGCTCGTTGTTTTTGTTTACATGAACAATAGTACAAGACTGGTGATGTGTTTCCTTGTAATTAATCTTATTAATATGATGGACTATATGTATATCACAACATTGATGTCAAATAGAAACCTATAAAGGGGACAGCACTTACGATGTTAACTGACCAAGAGCTGGTGATTAATACAAGGAAGCCGATATATCGGAAGTGTTCGTGTGGATTGATTGTCATTTTCGTCATTTAGAGCAGTAATGATTTTATACATGTATATCAATAACTGATAAAATCTAAAAAAGATTTCTAGACATATAGAAGATTGATGCAATACTCTATCGAAATGTCGATGGTTCAAGAATCCTATTAAAATCTGCGAGTACATTTGTTTAATGTCTTTTTAACATGTTAACAAGCGTTAACCTATGTCTCCACAAACTACCTGTTTACAACTTCCATGCCAATTCTGACGTTTCACTTCTTTTGATTTTAAAATATGACTCCCACTGAATGATGCAGAATTGTTATATATGTAAATATATTTACCTGGGTGTAATGGCAAGCTGCTCCACAAGAGGCGCTGCCGAACCTATATAGAGGGCGCTCGTTATACCATTGTCGCATGGATTCTTCGATAACGTAGCCACGGAATGGGGTGGGCCCAGTGCTGGAGAAAAATGCTAGGTTTTCCCCATATCCTCGCATTTGATGTTCAAACACGCACCTGTCCGCCCATCTTTGTGCGGCCCTCTCTAGAGACAGGTCATATGACTGAAAACAATTGAAACAAGTATTAAATACATAAACATTATTACGGTGTCTTAAGAAACAATTCACTTAAAGCTATATATGGCGTATCTGAGCTAAAAAATAAAAATACGAAATTGAGTGTAGATAAACATGATATATGTTATTTACGTTCAAAATATCATTTTGAACTTGAATAACTTCATGTTTCCATAGTTAAACTGACTTTAAACTGTGTCTGTTATTTAAATGCGGAGTCGGTAAATAAATCGGTTATTGTTTTAAATTTCTAATATCTTTGAAACATGATTGATTTAAATTGTGTAATTTACAGTAAAGTCCTATCTTTATATTAAGTAATAAAACAAATAGAAAGATCTTTTTAATTTTAGTAAGTCTGAACTTAAGAAAAATACGCCATATATGACTTTAAAATTTAGTTTTCTTGTTTAAGCAATAGTTGTGGGATGTTTTACTGGGTGATTTTGGTGGTTTATGCAGTAATGTACCTTACCATGTACTTCATGTCCGCAGCACCTTCCTGAGACCTGTAGAAGTTATGCCTCCGCTGTACATAACCCCTGTATTCCCTAATATCTACATACACAGCATCAAGTCCAAGAAACTGTACCACAGCCAATATAACGACGACCACCACTGAATGCATCTTGTCCAGATCCTGCAATAGAGACAAGTGTGTTGATCTCACGAAGTCAGTGAGGACAATGGTACCACTGGACAGTGGAGGACATTATTAAGTAACTGGTGTTTAGAATCATTTGTCACACGTGTCGTTAAGCGATATTTCGTGTCATGTTACATCTTTTTTTTGTGTTTACCATTTGTTCTCTTGTAAACAAAGTGAAAGGACATTGGAGAGTTCCTAACGTTCAGGAGGGTGACTTCATTCACGTCAGACCCTTGTGTCGCCGGGCGACGAAAGTTGTCGCGCGTCAATGTCCAACCTCATGCTTACCAAGTCTGCAGAGCGAGTTTCGAAAGTTTACTTCTTCGAATCAGTGTCTCCCACTGATGTTGACAACAAGACTCTTGTCAACATGCTTTGAAGAATCGAAGACTTTGGAACGAAAACTTCTCGTTCAGACACTTAGGCTGTTAACAACTTTAGAAACTAATTTACTTTACAAAGCACTTTTGGCATACAATGTTAGTTACATAACCCGGGGGTTCCAAGATCATAAAGTCATTTGAATTATAGTATATTTGACAATGCCAAGCATAGAAGAAGATGGATTAATACAACATTACTTTTCTCTTATAAGTCGAGTATTTTTCTTAATTCAAAAAGATATGTTGAGTTGTATTTTTCAATTTGTTCTTTTTCATTTACAGAGAGACTGTCGCAAAATTTTGCAAAGAAATATCTGGATACCTTAAAAAGTCATCGGTTTACTGAATATATATTTTCACTTGAAGCTCAAACAGAGTTAGTAAGTAAATACAATATCGATGCGAAGTTTAAATTACTTACGTTAAATATGCTGATTGTTGGAGTTTAATTTTTGTTCAATATTTAAGGTCTTTATATAGAGAGCAAGGATGAGCTAGGCGGAACCCTATCAATCTTCGGCCCATTGTCCCTACAAAATGTACCGATTGGTTGTCATGGCATCCCCGACTAATTAATTGATTAGCTGATAGGTAATTAAAAAAAGTTTTAGGAAGAATAAATGTTCGATCTACAACTGGTCGACAAAACACCCTGTATGTATACACTATTCAGGTTTAGTTGTTAACAACTTATCAAGACATTACGCGAACCACCACGGCTCAAAAAATCAGCTTGCTAGAGGTCTAAAAGGTCGCACTTTAACAGACATGAGTAATGACTGACATCTTTGTTTTTTTATACCTGATTCTCGTGTTAATTACAGAGACAGGTTATGATTTACTTTTATGCATCCGTAGTGAACTTTCTGAGGACTTTGGTGTCAAAGTTCGGGATGACAGAGAGAGTTCAGCAAGAAGTCACCCCTGCCCAGGTTTAATTTTAAAATAAGGCTTTTTAAAAAAAATATTTTCCTTACTGACTTGTTCTTTTTTTTAGTAATTAAAATGATGGTACAGATATTTGTGCTGAGGCAAGTAAGAACTGAATACTGCCTGATGGACGGTATAAAAGTTTTGGTTTGCATCGCAATTTGGTGCTTCTTGATAACAATAAAACAATCTCTATAATGTACTGATCGAATACAATAAGAATCTATACAATCAACTCTTAACCTATCACAGTTCAAATTATATAGGGTAATTTCTTCAACTAGTTAAAAGATTATGGTCACCGGGTAATAGATCTTTGAGTTTTTTTTATAGAAAATGTGGAGACATGCATTAAACATGAAAAACATCATAGGACAATTGCAAATATATATATACACTAAAAACAATTCTAAGGTCAAGTTTTGACAAGATGACCAAGAAACCTTGTGTTTTGTAAAAGATACTTTGGTAAGCTATACAGCTCCTAGCACTGAGTATTTGTACAAAGAGGAAAATTCCAAAAAAGACTGGTGTTTTCATCAAGTAGCTGAAATTCTGCAGTTTATTGGTTTGGGGAAAAAGACTAGAGAGTTAGAGTTCCAGCTCTCGGCATCTTCAAAACGAAACCTCAAAATGTTACTTGTTGTGTGCATTTAACACAATCTTGTAAAACCTACAGTTACTAAAACATTTCAGTGGTCATCCTAGACCTGAAACTGTTCACATTAAAAATAAATAAATAAGTAAAAATAGAAATTTATGTACGCACAGTATATGAATGCAAAAAAAGTATTTTATCTGCTTTAATTTTTTTTGCAAAACTTGCAACCCAAAAATGGCAATATTTTTTCAATGTGAACAATTCCAGGTCTAGGATTTACTTATTTATCCATTTCGTATGTAGTCTCGTATATAGCTTTCCAAACGCAGATTCATATATACTGAGGTACATAAATTTTTTATTTTTACTTATTTACCTATTTTGTGTATACTGTCTACCCACATATTTTTATTATCGCGTAAAATTTTTTTATTTTAATAATAATTTGTCAGAAGACAATACAGAGAGTAAAAAATGAGTCTTTTAAAAATGAAATGTGTAGATAACTTACAGTGATCATGCTCAAAATCTGATCTATTCATATATAATTTCATGTGGTGAAAAGAAAGTAAGTATATATATATATATATAAATATATATATATATATATATATATATATATATATATATATATATATATATATATATATATATATATATATATATATAATGCTTCAAAAAGTATATAGTAAGTATATAAAAGGTGTAAGTATACAAAACTCAATTTAAAAAATAGTTAAGTATAAATAACACATTTTTCCCCCAGAAATCAGCAATATTTCTCATAGATTTAGATTCAAATAGGTATTAAACTGAATATTGTTCGGCGTGTAAAAATGGGAGAAATTTGCAAGATTTTGTCACAATGTTAAAGATGTGTCCAACATTTTGTATAGAATGACATAGAAAACGACACAAAGTCGATCTAAGCACCAAAGAAAACTTACGATTTTATTATATTTTAGGGATTTATTATTTATGTCATTTCTATTCAAAATCAGTCAAAAGTAAATATCAGTCCATGCGTCAAATATTTGTTTGTGTTATATATGTATCTTTCAAAGGTTTACAAAACGCACTTCGGAGGTGATTTTATGTTTTGTATTTTCTTTAGAAGATATCGGTGATAAGTTGTGGTTTCCTTGCACCAGATTTTTTATCTCAATTTTTAAAGGAAGAGTATTTCCGTTATTCTAACATTGTTATGTTTAATGAATGACGGATCATAATCGATAAATCACTAAGGAATGAAAATTGGTCGGATAAAATAAATGCTACAGGAATAAATTCATTTCAATAAAGAAGCCATTTCAAGATAAGAAAAAAAAGAACCATTGGACAAAAATTTTCAACTGTCTTAGAATTACACTTTAACAGCAAGATTTTTTTTTTTTTTTTTTTTTTTTTTTTTTTTTTTTTTAAGTTTTAATAAATTATTGCTGCACATATTGCCATATTGCCTTTCAAATCTTTGCGCATGTGTAAATTGTATCCCATCAGTCGTATTGTGGTTTCACATGTCCACGTGTACTTTGTGACAAAAAGAATTGTGTGGTCTACCGCACATGATACCATTATAGCGTTAATTGTTCGGTGTCCAAATTCTGACAGGATCAAGACATTATACAAACTTATGTGAGATTACCGCACACGGATTTTTAACCTCGAAGTGCAATCTACCTTATCAATAAGCGGAAAATAAATAGTTTTTTTGGTAATCAAATTGATAATGAATGTCAAAGTGATAGATTTCTACAAGGCAACACAAAATTATTGATGTACAATGTACTTGTATGAATGTTTCATAACTTTATTCATTATTTATGATCATAAGTGATTACTGCGTGAAATGTTGTGAGTATTTTTGAGTATGTAATTTAAGTTGATAATTAATATGGTTAATGTTAAAATACGACTTTTTTCCAGAAAATTATCTTTAATTTAGACACATGTCATTCATATCGTCAAATATCATACATTGCATTAGCATATTGGTAAAAGAAAGGCTTCATGAGTGTTGATCATCAAATTGCCACAATGAACATCCGTCCATTAGAGAGGTCAATCTTGCTAAAAGACCATGTTTTTGTTTGGAAACTTGTTTTAAAGATTATGACAATAGTTAATTCCATGAATATGTCTATTCTATATGCATCAGTGAACTTGAAATAAAAGACACACCAGAGTCTGCCTCATCTGTTTCATATTTGGATGGTTTAATGACTATGGACAATAAGGGCCAACTAACAACTAAATTGTATATGTATTACAAAAGATTACTTCAGCTTTTCCATCATCAACTTTCACTGTTTATGTAGTAATGTTCCACTATCACCTGCATATGGTATCTACGTCCCCCAGCTTATTCGATACTCAATTGCAAGACCATGTTCGGAGTACTATCATTTTTTTTTACCGAGGCAGACTACTGACAGATAAGTTGATGTAACAGGGATTTCAACAACCTAGTTTAAAGTCAGCATTTTGAAACTTCTGTCGTGGTTATAATGACCTTGTTAGCAAATATAACCTTTCCTTGGGTCGTATTTTGGTTGATGTGTTTTATACCCATAGTAAGGCTTCTGTTTTTATACTTAATTTGACTAAGACATGTTCCATCTACCTGATCAATACAAAGGGCTCTCGGCGGGTGTGACCGATCAACAGGGGATGGTTACTTCTCCAAGGCACCTAATTCTTGGAATCTGTGCTCTATGCTCTGTGCAAGGATTTGTATTGTTTGTATTTTTTTTTTGGATCGATCACTGTTTTCTTCACCTTTTTCATTAGAAGGAGACAGAAAAACAGAAGAATGTAGCAGGAGAAATCCGAGGAAAAATTTCCGGAAAGTTCTAACAAGGATAAAGCAAAAAATGTAGCAGGAGGAAAAGTATCCAGGGAATTTTTTTACAAGGAGACACAGGCTCAGAGAAAATGTAACAGGAGGAAAAGTATCCAGGGAATTTTTTATAAAGGGGACACATGATCAGAGAAAATGTAACAGAAGGAAAAGTATCCAGGGATTTTTTTTACAAGGAGACACAGGCTCAGAGAAAATGTAACAGGAGGAAAAGTATCCAGAGAATTTTTTACAAGGAGACACGGGCTCAGAGAAGATGTACAGGAGGAAAAGTATCCAGGGAATA